GAAAGAATTTCTCAGACACTTTTTTAAAACTAGATACCTCAATGATAATTGTGGCCAAGTTTGGTTAAATTTGGCGCAGTAGTTTCAGAGAAGATTTTTGTAAAAGTAAACGACGACGGAAGATGAGACGCCAAGTGATTAGAAAAGCTCACTTGGTCCTTTGGGCAAAGTGAGCTTAAATTGACTGGTATAAAACTAGTGTGCTCGCAGTTCGGTTGATGAAATGCAACCATAAAATTGATATACATGTACAAACATTCATGACTGCTTTACCAACTAGATGTCAAATCGCGCCTTGAAGACAATGCAATATAAATCTGTTTTCCAACGCGTCTGGGACCAAAATAATCTTTCAGAACCTCTCTTTAAGTCTAATGGGGCCCCAGCCATTAACAACAAAAGCAGCAAATATGAAGTGTTCCCATTACTTGGAGATATTTATGTAAGGACATGAGAGCAGAAATTTTGCATGGATGATAAAGCATTTGATTTCAATATTTTAATGAACAGTCAGGGGTGCTACTTAAACAAGTGATTTCATCATCACTTATTTCAGTGATTTGATAAATTCAGTTATCACCTATTTAAGTGATTTTAGCGTTTTCTTTGATCTTCAAATGCTAATTTCATTGATTTTCCATATTTTCACAATCTTTTCTATAATTTTCCTACATAAATCAATTATCCCTTTTTCTTTGTATATTAATTTCACCAGTGCGCTTGGGCAGTAAGTTAGTGCGCTAAAGCTTTTAAAAGTACCCTTGGGAATTTTTCTGTAATCAAAAATTCATTAACTACTCTTACTATCAGACAAAGATCAACAATATTAGGTAACCTGATTGGTTTTCTTTAGAGTTAGAATGATCTACTTCAAGGTTATGACCTGATCTACAAACTATTCCAGTTTTTGCATATTTTAAAAAAACTGTAAAAGTGTCAGGCTTATCAAGTAAAAGACAATTTCTGCATGTACATAGTTGTTTTTTCAATGGAAATGTTGTCTTTTTACCAATAAAAAAATCAAGCTTGTGGGAAAAATATCAAGAAAATGTTATAAACACTTATTAAAGTGATTACATTTTAACTTCTAAAATTACTTGTTTCAGTGATTTTAAAAAGTCTGTGTGAAAATTTTTAATATTTCACAGCCAAAATCACTCGAGGAAGTGATTCTGAAATCACTTGTTTAAGTAGTACCCCTGACTGATGAATGTTATACATTAAAGCTATTTCTTATGCTCAATCAAACTACATGTACATTATAATTAACAGCGTCCGGTGACAATGCATAGCATGATGTTTATGGTTCTTCACTGACCTCCTTTAGAGGAAGACTAATGAATTAATAGTGTCACACTATTAATATAGTGTCTAATAAAATGCTCCGCTGGGCGCAGCTTGATACGACCGCAGAGGTCGAACCCTGAACAGTTGGGGCAAGTATGGACACAACATTCAAGCTTGATACAGCACTGAATTTGGATTGTGATTAAATATTGCCCCAAATTCCTAAACGTTTAGGGCAATTACCCCCAAACTCAAACCCAGCTTTCCCTTTGTGATATGGAACCTTTTAGTACAATTTTATAAAGATCCATACACTTACACACAAGTTATTGTCCTGAAACTAGAAAAATGCTTGTTTTTTGCCCCTAATTCCTAAAATTTTGAGGCAATTACCCCCAAAATCAATCCCAGCCTTCCCTTTGTGGTATGGTACCTTGCAGTACAATTTCAGAGAGATCCATACACTTGAACACGTTATTGTCTGGAAACTAGAAAAATGCTTAATTTTGGCCCCTTATTCCTAAACGTTTTGGGCAATTACCCCCAAACTCAATTCCAGCTTTTCCTTTGTGATATGGAACCTTGTAGTACAATTTCAGAAAGATCCATACACTTACACACAAGTTATTATCATGAAACTAGAAAAATGCTTGTTTTTTGCCCCTTTTTTGGCCCCTAACTTCTAAAATTTTGAGGCAATTACCCCCAAAATCAATCCCAGCATTCCCTTTGTGATATGGAACCTTGTGGTACAATGTCAGAGAGATCCATACGCTAACACACAAGTTATGTCTGGAAGTTACAAAAATGCTTATTTTTGGCCCCTAATTCCTTAACTGTTGGTACCATAACCCCCAAAATCAATCCCAACCTTCCTTTTGTGGTATTGAACCTTATGGTAAAATTTCATAAAGATCCATTCTCTTAAACTAAAGTTAGAGTGCGAAAACCAATGTGTCTTAGGACGACGACGACGACGCCAACGTCATACCAATATACCACCACAAAATTTTTTTGCGGTCGTATAAAAATCATCTGTTCAGTTAAAATTCTAGTGGAGAGCCGAAACCTGTCGAACTAGGAATCATACATGTAATTAAGCACTGTTAAAAATGTGATTTGGCATGTACTACCTATTTTTTGTTTGTCATAATTTGATAAACTTATCTTTAGTTTTTAGTCATAATAGTTTAAATTGATACATTATACATGTAAAATGTTCTATTGCTTTTTCTTTCATGATACTTGTTGACATTTGGTCAATTATTTTTAAGAGTTTAATTATGATTCACTTATAGTTATCTGAAATTGTCCAATTGCAGTCCATTCACACATACATGAACATGTAAGAAAAAAATAGCCACCTACCATTTTTTTATACTAAAAACAAGAATGTGTCCATAGTACATGGATGCCCCACACACACTATCATTTTCTATGTTCAGTTGACCGTGAAATTGGGGTCAAAACTCTAATTTGGCTTTAAAATTAGAAAGATCATATCAAAGGGAACATGTGTACTAAGTTTCAAGTTGATTGGACTTCAACTTCAAAAAATACCTTGACCAAAAACTTTAACCTGAAGCGGGACAGACAGATGGACGCACAGACTGAAAAACATAATGCCCTAATTAGGTGGGGTATAAAAATTGGAAGAGAATTAAGGATTTTTTTTATTATGGCCTTTATTATGATTAAAATTGATTGAGGGCAGGTTAATTTATTTAAGAAAACAATTCCCCACATTGGCAGGCTGATACATGTACATTTACAATGTTAATAGAAGATGTGGTGTATAAATGTACATGTACAAGTGTATGTCAATGAGATGCAAAGCAGCAAGTACATGTAGCAACCAAATAGGCAATAACACAAATAACAACAAGAACAGGACGGACGGATGCCCAGTTTTTCTATGTCCCCAGCAACATGTTGTGCGGAGGAGACAAAAAAAATCTAGAGGTCAGACTTTTTATATTCCCCAGTAAAAACATAGAAAAATCCATTAACTCAATAGAAATAAAAAAGTTTAAAATAATTTTCATGTAACAATACATGTTACATGTAACACAACACCTAAAAATGTATATTTATCGTTTTTTGTCTGCCATTACTGGACAACACAGTGTAAAAGTGATTGTTTTATGACATCAATACATTTTAGGTATGTCATGTACGTGTACATTTGTAAAGTGGCAAATCTATAACAGCTATAAATTGTAGGTCTACTTAATAACATTTTACATTTGCACCTCCTCAAAGTTCTTAAATATTTGTTAATCCATGTAATCTAAGCATGTAGAAAGTTTAGGCCTAAAAAAAATACCTACATTTCCACAATATACTGAAAATTAGTGTTGGTTGGTAAGCAAATAATTATTAAAAAAAATTTTGACTAGTTTAATCAGGGGGAAAAGTCAGACTCAAATCATGCAAATAGTACCTGTTTAAAAATGACACAAAAAAAAATATTGAGTAGACATTCATAATTTTTGTATTATTCAACATTATCAGTAAATTGTGTGTTCTACAAGGATCACCAGTCCTTCACCTTTCATCTGATACCTTAATTACTAAAATATATATGCTATATAGTTTAAGATTTACACCTTTGCGTAGGAACTATTTTGTTTTAAATATTTACTACTTTCCAGTGTGTTCTTTTTTGACCGGGCCCGATTAGGTGGTGTTACATCTTACAAATAAAATTGAGAATGGAAATGGGGAATATGTCAAAGAGACAACCCCCCGACCAAAGAGCAGACAACAGCCGAAGGCCACCAATGGGTCTTCAACGCAGCGAGAAAATCTTGCACTGGAGGTGGTCCTCAGCTGGCCCCAAAATAAAATTGTGTACTAGTTCAGTGAAAATGGACGTCACACTAAACTCCAAAACATATAAATGAACTAAAATTAAAAAACATACAAGACTAACAAAAGCCAGAGGCTCCTGACTTGGGACAGGCGCAAAAATGTGGCGGGGTTAAATATGTTTTGTGAGATCTCAACCCTCCCCCTATAACTCTAGCCAATGTAAAATGAAGAAACACATAGCAATACGCACAGTAAAACTCAGTTTAAAAGAAGTCTGATGTCAGAATAGGTAACAAAAGAAACTAAGCAAAATGACAATGATACATAAATTAACAAAGGACTACGAGCAGTTACAGACATGCCAGCTCCAGACCTCAATTAAACTGATTGAAAGATTATGTCTTCACCATATGAAAATCAAGTACAATCCCTCCCGTTAGCGGTTTAGTATCATACCATCATAAAATATATGAGAAGAACATAACCAGTATCATGCCAACAAAGTCTATCCAAATTATTTTCGTAAAGAATTTTGCTCAAGCCAGTGCTTGGGGCGGTCTCAAACTTGCAGTGAGGTGAGAGTTTTTTTAATCTGTGTTGAAGGCCTCACAGTGGCTTTGAGATGAAGAACATCAATAAAAGCGCTGTTTCTTTGCTTTTTGTGTGGTTTTTTTTAATTTTTTTTGCTGTGCATAAACTGATTTTGTGACATGGATGGATATTCCATATCCTTTGTTTTTCAATTACATCATGCAAAGTTCTATTCAACCCCTCTGTTGACAGAATAAGCATAGACAGACACAAAGGGGGGTTCAAATGGAATTCTTGCTCTAAAAATTAGGTTAGGTCAAGATAGCGAAAAGTATTTTTTAGTGGGCCATAAGCTCATTAAGACTTACCCGCAGCTTCACCAAGAAAAGCCAATTTAAACTTCAATAACGAGCTCCTGATATAATTATTGTTAGAGATATCCATTGCTTTCTGAGCAAAACTCATTTTAATAAGGATGTTCAAAAGGATTAAAAGGTCTAAAAACTGTCTTGTGTTATATCCTGTTTGTATATTAATGTGTCATTACATGTAGTCTAAAGTTCTAAAATATATGTTATATCAAAAGTTCCATGCTGTCAGGTGATTCACTGTGACGAAATTTCATTGTTTACACCATAAGTAATATTTGTTGCAAATTGTTCATCTAATTATCTTCAATTTATGTCATGTGTCTGTATTAAATTCCAAAACTAAGAGCATGCAATTTGTTATTCTAGATACACAATTTCATTGAACGGTTAGGTCGCAAATTGTATGGAAATTAATATTTAATGAAAAATAATTTATTATTAAAAGCGATGACTCAATATGTGCATGACATGATTGGTTCACAACGAAGTCGAATAGGTAAACACGACCACTTCCGTTACCTCGTCATCGGAACTTACCACTTTGTTCCCCTAGAAAAACTAATTTAAACTTCCTCAGCGGGTTCCCGAATTCCCCAGAGGAACTCATTGTAATATCTGATTCCTATGTAGAAAAATGAAAGTTAATTTGTAGGTGTGAGTCGAGACTGGACGTTAATATTTCGCTGTCTTCTTTCAACTCGCCACGTTCCGAGTCTTCATAAATTACAGACATGCGTGTTCACACCGGAAATGTCAAAAATATCGTTTTGAAGGAAAGTGTTGCTTTTATTTTAAAACGACAACATATTCTGTCTTCTTCAACATCCCCTTTGATTGTTTCTGTTAGCTCATTAATTCAAAAATAAAAAAAAGTCTGAGTGGGGAAATTTTAACATGAAAGTAAATTCCTGCTCTAGTTTTAAAAATAAATTTTTGCAATGAAATATATTAAAAAATCCTAATTGAGCCTGAATTGGTAACTTTGAGGGGTTCATTGGTAAGCAAATTGAAATAGTACTAATTTGAACCAACAGTTATATCAATTTATTTGAATTATCTGTTAAACTGTGCGTAATTGAAAATTTATGGGAAAATAGATATCGTTTTAACTTCATTATTTCAAAAGAAATTTTGTTTATCATAGTGGATAAGATTCTCGGCTTGTTCGTTCAGTCATTTACTAAAAAAAAGCAAGAAACATATGATACACAAAGAATATTAGTAAACTAGTTCATCTGCTATTTTCTAAGAGTGTTAATGATAGAGGTATGCATGATAAATTGCTGAAAACTGTCAATTTGTCAGTAACGACCGGAAGTTTTCGAACACACCAATCTATTCATTATATATACTTACGTTAAGTACTAATTTTCAGAATAGGAATATTGTTTCTGTATACATATACCAATTCAAAAGTATATCTGTTCAGATCAAAAACTGAAATAAAATATAGATGATTTTAAAGGGGCACTAGCTACGAATTGGATAAAGAATTAAAAATATGATTTTTTTTTTGGTTTCAAACATCGATACAAGCGGAATTACAAAATAATATTTCGCAGTCAGTTTGGTTCAATTTCGTCAAAATGAGATAAAAACATCACTTATTTATCATTTGCTTGCAAGTCAATAACTCAACTCATTTGAATCTGCATGTTTGCAACCTTTAAATTTAACCTTTAGTGGATTTGGGTAGTGCATGTGTTCATCATTCATTCAACAGAAAAGCATATCAACATTGAAAATGAAACAAGGGAGACACCCGTAATAACCATTTCTTTGACTTGTCCGACCCACAAAAAATCATTTATATACAGTTTAAACGACGATTTACAAATATTTCAGTTAACCTAAAACCAGGAAATCAAACAGCATGTGCTTTTCTGTCTTTTTTTTTTTTTATCTATATTTATGTTTTTATCGGTTAATATGACCGTCGGCAGTCTTCGGAGATCAGACCGATGGATGATTGTATGACTTCCATAGTCTAAAATACGAACGAAATGCTAATACATTAAAGCGAACCCATACATTGTTAATTGTTTCTTTTGGACTTTTTGTAATTTGGTTATACGTTTTAGTACGTTATAAATCAAATATGAGAATTTGGGTCAAATCGGTGGACATACATTTGATAGCTAATGCACTTTTAAAATATTCAACTGTTTTGAAACCATAGGACGTCTATGTTATTGCACCATATGTATGTGTGGATTTAATCTTAACTGAATATCATTCGATTTTGGTGTCTTTTTTCTTAACTTGTCAAGTTTAATCTCTTTCATAGTTGGAAATATTTGCATGCCACCTTTGACATATACCGGTAATACGAAATAAAATGAGGAAAACCCGATTATCCTTACGAATTTGTTCGCCTAGCCAAAGTTATGAACATCGTTCAGAACAACGGAACAGCGCCACAGAGCACGCAAGTTAAAAACATATCGTTACAGCTCAACAATTATTTTGAATATTTTGTTTCACTTTATGGTATTTTCTATTTTAAAAAGCTCAATAAACCATGACCGACAAAAATTTCAGATTATGATAGGAAGCAATTTTTTATCGAATATTAAACTCTCTCTAGTCTAAAAAACGAAATAAATAGCAGTGTAAAAGAGTTTTTCTTAAAATTTGCTAGTTCCACACATACGCAGGAAAGATTCATGCCTCACTTAATAATAGCCCTTTTTCGGACTAATAATACAAATTCAGGTTGTTAGCATGTCTACGTAAAAAGCCGTTTTCGTCATTGAAATAAACAAATTAAACCTAGTCTCAAAAGTTTTAGTGCTTCTTGAATAGATTATATTGTGCATTTTGTTCTTCGAATCAAGTTAAATAGTCCATTTGTGAAACAAGAACTTTTCCAGAACCCAAAGTAGGGTCTATGCAATAGTTCTTGATATTCTTTTAAGTAACTATAACGATTGTATTGGAAGCATTTTACAAGATTCCAGTCGGCACCATATCGCAAATTTATCGATATTCAAGATATCTTAGCAATGATACATTATATTCATGAGCAGTCACCAGCAATCAACAATGAAACACAAAACCAAAACATTTTTTCTCAGTTATTCTATTAACTCATAAATATCATTCAAATAGACAGACTTCAAGGGTAAACACATTGATGTGACATTCAGATGGAAGATTGAAGAAAAAACACACAAAAAGACAAGTTTTACATCAGAGCGTTACATTTACGAAAATAAAATGTCGAAAAAAATCCTCCTGATCTGAGATCTAAACTTGTGACTAAAATTTCCTAATCTCCTGGTCTGACTTTCACAGCCTATCACATGTATTTATGTAACCCATATTTAATCAAACTTGTTAACGGGAATTTGGGTAGTCTTATTTCTAAATTCAGGTGCAATGAATAGGACTAATCTAATGAAAGAATATCCACTTTACGTCCTTAACAATCTTTGCTCAGTGGAAAACAACAAGCCAGAAATCGACTTCTTGCTTTCACACAGTAAAGTGCCGTGTTGCTGTTTGCCAGCCAAATACAAATTCACTGGAAAAAAAACTTGTTTCAATATAAAGGTATTTGAAGTCACTCCAAACCTGTTGAGACTTGGTGCATACGGAAAAACTGTTGATTGACAACACAGTCATCAGCCGTAGAAAGATAATGATTGTTTTGTAATTTTAACGTCCATTGCCAACGTATTACATGCATACAAGGGCAAGAACATGTTAATGTGATATAAATAAAGACCCTGCTTTGTACAGACCAACACACTCAGCCGGACATTTTTAATGTTCAAGTTTACATGGTTACAGTCCAAAGGAAAATATGTCACCCTAAGGTACCCACATGCGCTTGGGACATGGACATCCCTTTTTCTATATTTTTTTGTGTTAAACTCTTTCAGTAACTTTTTAGTAACTGTTTTAACTTATTTTCACTTATTAAATGCGTCTTTGCTCTTAACCATATGATAAACAATGGCAGTAGGTCATTCATGCTGTCATTTTATTCTTATAAAGAAAAAAGAGGGGTCCATGCCCCTACCCGGTAACATTTTGCTGCCTCCAAACCGACTAATCCGATACTGAGCTGACGTCTGACAGTCCTTTTTAAAGGCTTGCACAGCCCAAGCAAGTCCACCAAACGGCTGTAAGACGTTATAGCAACCTTGGATTACAAACCGACCAGAAGAGCAACATCTTGGACGAAAGAAGAAACGAAAAAAAGTCCACGAAATACTACACAGAAAACTAACGATTAAGCAATACGAACGAACTGGAAATCGTTATGAAATCATGTGATTCAGAAGGGTAATTAACAATTACATTTTACTACTGTGGTACTAATATTGTTGCTTATAACAAGTAAAACCAGCAGTATCTGCGTCGTATTCGGTAATAATCATTTTAAAGGAAAAGAGTACGGGGTTTTAGTTACGACACATGAAACGTATTCTTTGTTATATGTAATATAGATTTTCCGTACCGGACAACCACATTATGATAGCATTCGTAAAATTGTCAAAAGCTTTAAATTACCACGAAGACTCCTTGGTTGGTTCTATAGATTCATTGTAAGCAAATATCTATAAAAAAAATCTTTTGGGCAAAAAAGCTGTAGAATTTCAAGTCATTATTTTTCGTAAATTTTAGTTCTAAAATGACCTACGCTGTTGATTTCTAAGCGTAAGTTAAGGTACGAAGCATACCTAAATATATTTGTGATATCCTCTATCTAAAGTTCAATGGAAAAGATTAAGTAATTTGATGTTATCTAAGGGAAATCATCGTCTTCACAAGAACATAAACTAACAAGATATTTCTAACGTCTTTTTTGCTCTTCTTGAGAAGTCTTTGAATGAATTTTCTTCACACGTATGAAGGAAAAAGTATGTAAGAAATAAAGCACAAGTAGATTCCAATGACTCCATAGGTTTGTCCTTCTGTTTATAAACACGTACATGTCTGTACTTGGACGCTATACACGACAACATACAAAACCTGTAAAAAACTACATAAGAATCCATGAGATCACCCATTTGTGTACCTGTTACTTTAATGTTTTTGTTCCATGACGTTGCTGTAATTTCTATCTTTTTTCAAAGCGTAATGCAAAAGTTCTCACGATCATAACACTTGCAGGGATAGTTTCTACCTTGAGATCCCATTAAAACACAAATTTTACTTTTAACAGTCTAAAAAATTGGCTACAAAATGTAATCGTAAAATTCATCAAATAAAGAATATTTGTAATAATCCCATATAGCCCGACAACGACTACATTTAAACTGTCAAGAAACGACTAGCTTTCAAGAACAACAACTATAACTTGTTATACGGATTTGACTTGATTGTACGTGAATTCCCTAAGGACATCAGGTGTGACTTATGGGGGCAATCGAAATTCATAACTTTAATAAAAAAAAGACACCATGCCCAAAAAAAAATCGACGAAAAGACAAACAGCGATTACAAAATGTTACACAGAAAACTAAACTGAGCAACACGAACCCCATCAAGAACTCAGTTGCTCCGGAAAGGTAAGCAGTTCCTGCTCCACGTGTGTCACCCGTCGTGTGGCTCAAGCAAGTTCAAATCCAGTGGCAAGTCGCATTCGGTAACTTTCGAAGGTGTTATAAATGCATTTTTGAAAATTTGCTTTTTGTCTCTCTTCATTCGGTCTTTTATGATCTATTTTCATTTTTATTTTTACTGTAACCTTTTTTTTAATTCTAAAAAAATATTGTACCTAGCACCCATTCTTTAGTAATGAGAGGTTACAGAAAGCAGCTGCATGAATTCTACAGTTTTAGTGGTATCAAAAGCAGTCCTATATATTTCACCTTACCCCCCCCCCCCCCTCCCCCCCGCTGATACGATACCTGAAGTAAGGAGTTTCTTATTGTTGCTAAAATAAGATGTGATACGATTGTTTATGGCAAAACACATCTAAAGGGTTGTACAACAAACAGTGGAAACACGTGTCGTGAGAGTTTCGTATATAGAGTAAACAAACCGTTAAGAAAATATATTTATTTACAAACTAAATAAAAAAGATTAAATCAACGAAGTGTTAAATAATTAATCACAGACAAAGAAACAAATACAGACTAATAAAGATTAAAACAGTACAAAATACAGCAATACTGCAATACAGAGTGAAGTTGGTCGTGTCTTCATTGCCCCTGAAATAAAAACAAAATATTCTATTTATTAAAGAGGGCAACAATTAACAAAAAGACAAAAAGCACAAAGAACCGATTTAAGGATGTACTTAGGTCAGGTTTTTGAATTTTTGTCCGATGTTCGGACTCCTTGGTTTTTTTCCTACGATACAGGGTAAAATATTTTGCCCCATAACACCCATTTTCTTTTCATATAAGACTTCAATAGCTCATAAAAGGTCATTTACCAAAATTTAAGCCGATTCTAGATTTCTTTTTTTCGATTTGAGACCCAAATAACACCAATGCAAATATGATTAGGTAAAAGTCCGAATCAGCCTTTTCCCGCCATTCAAAAAAGATAAAGATCTCGAAAAGGAGCTCCATAACCTATCAATATTTTTAGCTTATTTTGTTCCTTAACTAATGCTCTTCCGACTTATAGTATCAATTTTAAATTCTAGATGTTTTTAATTTCACCTAAGTACATCCTTAAGTTTACTCGTAATTACTAAACGTTAGGTCAAAGCCAATTCCTACTGCTTAAAGAATAACTATGTTTTTCCCAGATTAAAATATCACATGGATTTAGAGGAAACACAGCATCAACAGCTTGGGGAAAGCATAAACAAGTAGCGAATAAATTGAAGAACTTTTGTTATAAAATCAAATTCTCTGAATTGGAAATAATTAAGATATGACCAAAGACATCCCCTTACGAAGTTCATGACTTTGTAAAAGCACATGAACATTTGACGACGTCAGCTTTGCCTGTAAATTTAGAAAAAAACATATGAATCATTTAGAGAGAATATGTCGTCTGAATATCTGCAGGTATCATTCAAATTATCTATCAAGTCGTGTTACGTTGTGTCTTTTGTGAAGTCTACCCGTATAATGAGATTCATAACAGTAAAGAAACAGATCTGCGAAAAAAGAGTACAGCTCCCCTATGACCATTTGACCGAATACCTTATATTTGTAAAGAATCTTGATGTGTAATACTTTCTTAAAGGGGCACTAGCTGTCAAATTCATGTTCGTCGATTCGACTCAAATTCTCTTATTAGTTTTATAACAATGTAAAACATTTATCCAAATTATAAAAAGTCTAAAATAAACAATTTACAGGACATGGGCTTGATAATATGTAGCTTCGTTTCGTGTGTATTTTAGTCCAGACGCCATCTAATTAACTACCGAGATGACCCCGAAAACAACCGACGGTCAAATAACACGATATAAACATAAATATAAATAGATATATGGACCTCGTGCAAATGGATTTTACTATGTCTGTTTGATTTCAATTTTAAGGTTAAAGAAATAAGTTAATTTTCGATTTTACCTGTATAAGAATGATTTTTTGTGGATCGAATCAGTCAATCAAATGATTTACCTTTGTTTCACTTTCAATGTTGACATTCTTTTCTTTTAATAGCCTAACACGCATCAATCATGCATAATCCATCTCTAGCTAAGTTGTTAAATTCAAGTTTACATGAATACGCATTCAATGAGGTCGAATTATTCACTTGCAAGTGAATAATCATCGATGTTTCGTAGCTTATTTTGACAAAATTGAACGACACTGGCTACTAATAGCGAATTATTATTTCACTATTTCACTTTCATTAATGATTGAAAAAAAAAAAAAAATCATAATTTAATTTTTTTATGTATCTCGTAGCTAGTGTCCCTTTAATAAAAATAACAATAATACAAATGTATATAAATTATGTGCGTCCGAAGCACATTTCTGGACTTACCTTCATCAGGAACGCTCAAACGTAAACATTTGAAAACCAGCCAGGGATGTATAAATACGTAGAAAAGGGGCATACAGAGGTCAAAAAAGAACTTAAACGTTATCAAACAAAAAGTAATGTCTCTTATGTTTCATCAGAACAGTAGTCAGCATTTCTGTGTTGACATGAATTATCATTGATATTGTCATATATATATATATATAATTAACTGTTTACAAAACTTTGAATTGTTCGAAATACCAAAGATTTTCTACCTCAGGAATAGATCAGCTTATTTATAATTGGTAAAACCTTTCGGAATTTTTGGCACTCAATGCTCTTGAACTTCGTAATTTATTTGGTCTTTTAACTTTTTTTATTCGAGCGTCGCTGATGAGTCTTTTGTAGACGGAAACGTGCGTCTGGCATACAAAATCAAAAGCTATGTATCTTTAATGATTTTATATAAGAAAGTCTAAATTGAAAACAACGTTCAAACCTATGATTGCGTTGGATAAAAACCGCAATTTTTATACGTGTGCATGCAAAACAAATTTCTTGGTAGAGGGGTCTAAATACATCACAAACAACATTTTCCAAAAGACCAAAAAAGGTGAAAAAGTATATTTTAACAAAACGCATTTGACTAGCAGGTCGAACAACTGATGTTCTTAAACCCTGCTGACTGCCATTGGCGATTGCCAAATAAACGGATCACAATATGTAACAAAATGGATTTTATATTTAATTTATTACCAAACAGAAAACAATAAACTTGCGGAAAAGATGGTATACAGCAAACATGAGGTGCCAAAATTTGTACACCATATCCGGAATTCGACAATTAATGTCTCTTCAGTAATGTTAGGAATCGAAACGGTATTTGGAAGGCCATATAATTTACCTCAATTTAGGATAGACTCTTGAATTTTGGAAAGAGTCGAAATAGGATGAACGGATCATATAAACCCGAAGGCAAATATAATGCAAGCTCAAACGAAAAAATATAAGAAAGTCTAAATTGAAAACAACGTTCAAACCTATGATTGCGTTGGATAAAAACCGCAATTTTTATACGTGTGCATGCAAAACAAATTTCTTGGTAGAGGGGTCTAAATACAGCACAAACAACATTTTCCAAAAGACCAAAAAAAGTGAAAAAGTATATTTTAACAAAACGCATTTGACTAACAGGTCGAACAACAAATGTTCTTAAACCCTGCTGACTACCATTGTCAAATAAACGGATTACCGATGTCATAAATGGATCTTAATTATAAATTTAATACTAAAAAGTAAACAATAAACTTGCGGAAAAGATGATATACCGCAAACAAAAGGTGCAAAGGTTATTGTACACCACATCCGGATTTCGACAATTAATGTCTCTTCAGTGATGTTAGGAATCGAAACGGTATTTGGAAAGCCATACAATTTACCTCAATTTAGGATAGACCCTTGAATTCTGAGGAGTCACAATAGGATGAACGGATCATATAAACCCGAAGGCAAATATAATACAAGCCCAAACGAAAAAATATAAACAAGCCTAAATTGAAAACAACGTTCAAACCTATGATTGCGTTGGATAAAAACCGCAATTTTTATACGTGAGCATGCAAAACAAATTTCTCGTTAGAGGGGTTTAAATACAGCACAAACAACATTTTCCAAAAGACCAAAAAAAAGTGAAAAAGTATATTTTAACAAAACGCATTTGACTAACAGGTCGAACAACTGATGTTCTTAAAGCCTGCTGACTGCCATTGGCGATTGCCAAATAAACGGATCACCGATGTAATAAATGGATCTTAATTATAAATTTAATACTAAAAAGAAAACAATAAACTTGCGGAAAAGATGATATACATATATATATATATATATAACTAAGAAACTTTTAAATTCCAAATGTTTTGTCGTAGAAATAATGTGAAGAATCATAATATTGAAGTAACTTTTGGATTATTAGAGTACAGATTTTACCAGAATTTTGTGGACCTTTACGAATAGGTTTGGTATCCACAGACAATTTCCTGGTTGATGTTGGATTAGTATTATAATATAGAAAGTCAGTAGTATCCATAGCTGTTATCTTGTCTTTTGTTATTGAGTTAGTAGATTCGTCAACTAGAATAAACAAGTTTTAAAAACAAACAAATTATAGAAATCAGTTAAAATTAATTTTACTGATTTATAATAACTAACCGTCAAATCGTGTTGTTAAATATCTTTACTGTTGAAATGTTTTTTCTTGTTTTTATTATAATACCCCATTCACTTTAGATACTTTTATCATGTATTTATTCAGTAAATTTAATATTTGTATTATGTGTTAAATATTAAATGAGGATGCAAGACATGCAATGATATTTCATGCATATAGCATGTGGGAAATACTCAGTACTATTGACCAAAAGCGTTTTAATTAAGACGAAAAATTCACCACTATAGAAAAGTCATGCGCATAACAATTTTGATAATTTTTTAACCACCAGAAGCAACATTTTACTTTTTTAAAGGTGTAATTAAGATATAGCGTGGTTGTTTTTGTGTGTTGTGTCATGTGTTTTAATGACCTTCAATAAAGGTCTTTTTATTATTCCCTCTTTTCAAGGTTGTCGAAACCTCGTTAGTTTTTGGAAGTTAACAAAGAGCCTCTAACAAGTTCTGTAAAATAAAGAAGAATCAATTTGTGGACCTATTCGAAGAGATTTGGTAGAATAACTTGTTGAATCTGTAGCCTCCACAGACGATCTCCTAGTTGATAATGGATTAGTAGACTCTGGTGAATTAGTATTATAATATAGTAAGTCAGTAGTATCCATAGCTGTTATCTTGTCCTTTGTTATTGAGTTAGTAGCTTCATCAACTAAAATAAACAAGACAGATAAATTATAGTTGAAATAATAGAAATTCGTTAAAATTAATTTCATCTGAAATTTGAATACCGACGGTGAAAAGTATTGTTTATTTATCTTTGTTGTTAAAATGTTTATTCTTGCTTTCATTTATTTATAATGCCTATTCACTTAAGATACTTTTATTTGTAAATATTATTAGCAAATATTATATTTGTATTGTGTATTAAATATTACAGACAGCATTAAGACATTCAATAATAATGAATATCTGTTTCACAGATGACGGGTATGTTCAAATGGTCGTAAAAACAATCCTGTCCTCTTTTCCTCAACAGTGACATCACCGAATTAGACTTATTACCGTATTTGTACTTGCATGAGCAACACGACGGGGTCCACATGTGGAGCAGGATCGGCTTACCCGTCCGGAGCACCTGAGTTTTTGACGGGGTTTGTGGTGCTCAATGTTTGCTTTTCTGTGTCACATTTGGTTATTGCTCTTCCGGAGCACCTAAAATCACCCCTGGTTTTTGGTGGGGTTCGTGTTGCTCAATCTTAAATTTTCTATGTTGAGACTTGTAGGCTATTTTTTGTCTTTATATCGTTCTTCATTATTTTGTCATGGCGCTGTCAGTTTGTCTTCGACTTATGAGTTTGAATGTCCCTTTAGTATCCTCTGCCTTTTTTTCATTGATATGCCATGAATATAGCATGTGGGATATTTTTAGTACTCCTGACAAGCAGCGTATTTTTACAATGAGAGAAAAATTCACAACTATAGAAAAGTCATGCCCATAACAGTTTTAATATTTTTACCAACAGAAGCAACATTTTGCTTTTTGACCGTGTAACTGACGGATGGCGTGGCTGTTTGTATTTTTTGTGTTTTAATGTCCGGAATTGGAGTCATTTTTAAAATGCCCTTCGTTGTTGAACTACTTCTGAAGGTTGTGGACGCCTCAATCGTTTTGTAAGTTAACACAGATCTTCTGGCAAGTTCTGCAAAACAAAGAAGATGTAATGAAGTTTTTCTTACTTCATTAAGAGTTATGAAAAACGGAAGTATCGTATATTTAATTGAGGTATATACCATAACCATGACTACAAATAAACATAATTATACATTTGTTAGTCTCATCAGTATGAAACAATGTTGAAGTTGATATTGAAGTAATTTGTAGAAACGCAAAGTAACCTGAAAAGTTAACAAGTATTTCAATCAAATTAAAACTTTATAAGAATGATTTCTAATATGACGAAGAATATCATTTTGCTTGCAGTCTCACTAAAATCAACTAGACAACTATTATTCACAAATGGTTAGAATATTTTCTCGCATTGAAGTAATTAACTTTCCAATTGGAAACAACAAAAGGTCAATGTATTAATGAAGCAAATGTAAAGACGACCTATTATTAAAGACGAATGCGAGTATAGAGCACACCTAGCGTTATGCTGTTTTGATTTGGAATTTTGATATTTTCATACATTTTGATTGTTTTGACTTTCTGCAAATTTATTTGTTCGTTGTTATACTTTAGTTTGACTGTCTGTAATTTTATATTTCGGTGTTTTGTTTTGGTTTGGTTTCACATTTTGTAATTTTATAAATTTTTTTTTTTTGGTTTAGGATTGGTTTAACTTTCTGTAATTCATAGATTCATTCCATGAAGAATGTTTTAATCAATGAGAATTAAATTGATAAATCTTTTACCTTCATCATGAGTCGTCGTCCTCGCGAAGTTTCCACCGTTTCCAGCTGTTGTTCCTGTTGTAACAAATTTTGTGCTGCTACTGGGCTTTGTTGTACTGGTTTGTTTTGGGCTTGTTTTAGGATGTCTAGTGGTCCTTTGAACTAGTAATACATATATTCTTATCTATTGTTTTATTCATGTTAGAAATGTAAATAAAAATGAAAAACCGCATTTTGACAGGATACACACACACACGTATCAGACATTCTATATTCAATTTGTTATTACCGTTAGTAGAACTGTTAGTGCATGCAAAGTCCCTCTAGCTGGTAATGCATTTTAATCCGATACAAATTGTTAGTCGTGTTACTGTTCTTAGTAAATTATGTATTTATAACTGTATATATAAAGAAATGAAAAAAAAGGTTAGTGCAAGCCGTTTATATACTTTAGTACGTTCAAGTAGAATATATATGGACAATATAATCAACTCTTTTCTGAGTGGTTATACATATAAACATTCATATCCCATTTGTATACGTGTATTCAGGCATTGGATTCTCACCTTCAATGAACTTCATTCAGGATAGATCAAATTCAGATTAACAAATAACTTTGTTTGTTGATAGAAGTATTCGTAATTGCCGTCGTCGTCGTCGTTGCCGATGATGCCGCTACTGCTGATGATGCTGATCATTATGATAATGATGATGATCGATGCTGATGATGCTGATAATGATGATTTTGATGATGAGGATAATGATGATGAACCGAGACATATACAAAATAAGTAATCATAATGGATTGTAAAATATTAAAATATTTCCTAAAGCGTGCAAAGTGGTGAAAGTACAAGCTGCAAAAGGACTTTAAAACGTTTCACCAAGCATTGATTTGTGATTGGTCAAGACAGATTCAGTTTGCTTAGCATAAATTAATAGGTGTAAAAGAGAGTATCTAAATTTTAATTTTTATGTTAATTACCTGTCGTAAGAGCGGCTGGTGTTGAAGCCTTAAATGTGGTAGCTGGCTCGCATCTGGCTTGAGCTTCTGATAATTTTGGTTTGGAATACTTTGCAACTTGTCTGAACTGGGGACAAGGTGATCCTTTCTGAATACAACTGATATACTGCTTGTAGAGGCTAAAACAATAATAAAATTGGAAATAAAAATGGAAATAGGTAATGTGTCAAAGAGATGTGTCATTATTGTTTTGCAATAAGTCTTTTCAAAACTTGTCATCCAGCAAGATAGAAAAAACGCACATCAGAGAGACAAAACATCAACAATAAATTACTTATGAGTCTTTTGTAGACGAAACGCGCGTCTGGAGCACACTATTTTAAGCCTGATATCTATGAGGAGTTTATTTATATACCAAACGCGCGTTTCGTCTACTCGTGTCTCAAACAGTGGAAACCACAAATCAATTACGAAGTTGACTTGGCTAACTCTTTGAATGCCCCTTTTGATCACAAACCCCCTAATGTGCCTACGTATTCATGCATCACTGGTGTTCAAATGTTTAGGTTTGACCTTTCATCATGAAGGCAAACCAAGGATAGCGCTTAGAACGCACGAAATTGACAAAGTGTTATATTTTTTGAAGAGTATTGAAAACCAAGTTCCAAAACGATGTGCCAAACCTTACTGTGATAATCTTTGCCTCGGGGTAGAACAAACTTAGTGTTTTGAATGAATAATGTTTTCATTTTGGAGCCAAATGAAGACAACTTTGGTCTTAGAATACTAATCACATTTCTCTATTGTCAACATTATCAGTAACATTTTTGTGTTTTTTGCAATAGATAGCTCGTTTTGTCTTAAATAGTTTATTGTTTTGTTTTAAATTAATGCTTGAAATATCGATTATTTCCGCAGGTGTTTACTTACAAACTATTTGTTTGTAGCATTTTCAATTAACTTAGTTCTTTGGATATTGTTCAGTTACCGACATTATTAAGAACTACTTTATCCAATATCCCACTGAGTGTGACTTTTGACTAAGTCATGGATGAAATGACGAGGACGTACACCGATGCTCAGCACAATTGTAAGTCTCGCACAGTACCACTGCTGGTTGACGATTCTTTACCGAGGGTATCACCAGCCCACTAGCCAATACAATGATATTAATACTGTCATTGTCTGTAAATCATCTGTTTATAAAAGTTGAATTATTCGCAACTATGAAGGTATTTGTACACAAAGGCATACGTACATTACCTTAGCAAGATTTGACAATTTTGAATTTTGAATTTTAGTTTCATTGGAGCACCACTGATGAGTCTTGTGTAGACAAAATGTGCGCCATTATAATCCAATTATGTTTGATGAGTGTTCACACTAAGTAATAAATGTCAAACTCTGTAAAAATGTCACATTGACATTATGGTAATTTGAGATCTACGGCAGAGTAAAACCATCACTTGTAAATTGAGAGATTAAGATGCTGTTATACATGGTGGTGACATTGAAACTTTGTCGGTGTACATGATCTAGCTCATTCATGCATTACTATACCCTGTTAATTTTCTTAATACATAAGATTGAGAATGGAGGAATGTGTCAAAGAGACAACAACCCGACCAAAGAGCAGAAAACAGCCGAATTTCACCAATGGGATTTCAACACAGCGAGAAAATCCCGCACCCGGAGGCGTGCTTCAGCTGGCCCCTAAACAAAAATGTGTACTAATTCAGTGATAATGGACGTCATACTAAACTCCAAAACATATAAATGAACTAAAATTAAAAATCATACAAGACTAACAGAGACCAGAGACTTCTGACTTAGGACAGGCGCAAAAATGCGGCGGGATTAATATAAAAAAGAAGATGTGGTATGATTGCCAATGAGACAACTCTCCACAAGAGACCAAATGACACAGAAATTAACAACTATAGGTGACCGTACGGCCTTCAACAATGAGCAAAGCCCATACCGCACAGTCAGTTATAAAAGGCCCCGAAATGACAATGTAAAACAATTCAAACGAGAAAACTAACGGCCTAATTTATGTACAAAAAATGAACGAAAAACAAATATGTAACACAAAAACAAACGACAACCACTGAATTACAGGCACATACATACAGAATGTGGCGGGGTTATACATGTTAGCGGGATCCCAACCCTCCCCCTAACATGGGACATGTTTTGTGAGATCTCAACCCTCCCCTTTACCTCTAGCCAATGTAGAAAAAAACAAACACACAGCAATACGCACAGTAAACCTCAGATTAAAAGAAGTCCGAGTCCGATTTCAGAATAGGTGACAAAAGAAACTAAGCAAAATGACAATGATACATAAATTAACAAAGGACTACTAGCAGTTACTGACATGCCAGCTCCTGACCTCAATTAAACTGATTGAAAAAGAGGGACGAAAGATACCAGAGGGACAGTCAAACTCAATAGATCGAAAACAAACTGACAACGCCATGGCCAAAAACAAAACGACAAACAAACAAATAATAGTACAGATGACACAACATAGAAAACTAAAGACTAAGCAACACTAACCCCACCAAAAACTGGGGGTGATCTCAGGTGCTCCGGAAGGGTAAGCAGATCCTGCTCCACATGTGGCACCCGTCGTGTCGCTTATGTTATTACAAATCCGGTAAATAGTTTAATTCGGTAGGTCACATTCGTGAAAAGGTAAGGGTATTGTAGTAACGACATAAGGAACATATCCAATATCATCAGTGAAACGGTTATTCCATAACGGTCAACCAACTCGTGATGGCGTCCGTAAAATTTACGAAGGGATGATTTCAACTTCACCTATTTGGAACTCATGGTTTAATAGCTTCCTTGTGAGCAGCAATCCTCTATCAAGGAAATCATGATAGGAAATACGGGAATATCGTATCAATTGGGAGATATGAAAGATAATGTTTTCATTATATGAAAATCAATCACAATCCCTTCCGTTAGGGGTTTAGTATCATACCATCATAAAATATATGAGAAAAACATAACCCGTATCATGCCAACAACTGGTTTTAGAATAAATGTGTAACGATGCAAAGACCCTATGAGTGAATCAGTATTAATACCAAAATATGCCAACTTTTATGACCTGACAACAGTATCGTAACTATATCCCTTCTTAATAAGTCTGTTTAAAGGTTTGGTTGGCTTTTGAGGTGAATAGACTTATTTCAATTCAAATCGACCAACTGCTTTCATATATAACAAAGAGTTTTACACCTTGTCGTGTTTACCATACCAAACACATAATCAAAAGTATCGTAAAACAGGAACAAGATATCTGAAAAAAAGTATTAACAAAAATACCGAACTCTAAGGTAAATTCAAAAGGGGGGAATTCAATAAAACCTGACAAAATTAAACGTTAGATTATATCAACCAACGGAACGAATAGAAAACAACTCTCATAATCCTGATTTGATATAGGCATTTCCGAAGAATATGGTGGCTAAACCTGGTTTTATAGCTAGCAGGCAGGACCAAAGACTTCATACACGTTAGTAGTTATCACTAACAAGCATTAGACTAGATATGGAGTAATTCTGTTTAGCATGACCGAAAATGCTATGTTCATGCTCATGCTCATAAGTTTTATCATTATCAAGCTGATGACATTATACGAAGTCATTCTGTTTAGTAGAACATAAGAAAATTGTGACAAATTTATTGGTTGGATGAACGGACATGTAAACAGACGAAAGGATAGTTAAGGGGAATGCAATTTAGTGCCATTCCTAGAGTGGTGGTGTAATTCGCTTAAGCTCAATATATATGCAGAATGTGTTTTTTTTTTCAATTGAAACTTCCTCTTTAAGATCGAAAATATTAACCCTGATGAACGTTGATATTAAGTGAAAATTGATCGTGAAGCATATACACACACAAAATGATAAACTGGATAAAGAAACCATCTATCGTTATGTTAATCTTTCTCTATCCGTCACTAAACTTTTAAATGGCATAAAATAACTTTAACTATTTTAAGCTTACTTGCAGTCAGCAAAACCATTTCCGCTTGATCTCGTGAACTTACTGTTGCATCCGTCTATTATTTGTTTTGTTTTGTCAATTGACGAACAACCTGTAACATTCCTAAGTTATTTGTATACAGAGAAACTGGATATTTCATAAATATTCTTATTCACTACATATATTTTAACGGAGAAATTATGGTAAGGTCCATTACTTAAACTAGAGAACCGCAAATATTATATATATACTGAATTACATTTTGCAGGTGTTAAATATCAGTAATAATATTTTCAATTTTGTGTACTGCATTATTTTACTTTAGGTTGCAAACATTTTTTTGTGTAAAAAAATTGCTCATATATTATTTTACTAAAACTATCCATAAGTGAAAAAGAACTTTTGGAATATATATGTGTATTATGACATTTTCTACGGTTATCGCTACTCCAAGTATTTGCACTTAAGGGACCTAAGCATATTATCCAAATTATTTATCAACAAAATTAACATAATTTTGGAAGGATAGAGCTATTTGTAATTTCAAAAAGTGATTCTTATCATACTTCCGTTTAATGACAAGTCACAAATTGGTTCGAATCATTTATTTTCATACATTTCAATTTATAATTTTTTTTTTGAGGTTGCATTATATTTTGTATTTATGTTTTTGTTTTGTCAATCGTGTTGTATGCCTTTTTTAATTTTACGTTTGTGACTGCCATTTGACATCTTAAGATTTGTTAGATAGAAAGGCCATGATAAAGGAAAGTAATTAATATTAATTAATGAACGGGTACCTAGCATGATGTTTTATGCCTTTCTGCAGCTTATGGTTCCTTATTATCCCCTGATATCTTCTTCAAGTATAATGTCTCTAAAACTTGTTCACAAATAGTGGACGAAGATACCAAAATATCGTAAGAAAAGAAGGAAGTGATAAAAAAAGGTTACATGTTAAAACCGGTTACATTTTTTTTTCTGTTTTTTCAGGAATTTGTTATAATGTGACTGTTGTTGGTTGATATCTGTCATATTTGTTTTTCTTTTTTGCTGTAGCATAAATCAGGCCATTGTCTTTCTCTTTTGAATTGTTTCACATAATGTCACCCCGGGTCTTTTATAGCTTACTATTCGGTGTGAGGTTTGCTCATTGTGAGAGGCCGTGCGGTGACCTGCAATTGTTCAAATTGTTGTTCTTTGGTCTTTACGTATGATTCACCGTTGTCTCATTGGCAATTATTCTACATAGATATTTATTACTTCAGTATAGTTACCTGACTGGCAGATTGTTTGAACAATAAGTCTTACATCACCAGACAATCCAGACAGGAATAACTCGTCTCGAAAGGAACATGTCTTCAGTTTCGTGTCCACACACGTTGTTTTTATATTGTTGTAATGACTAAAATTTAATTAAGTCCATCAAAGTAATTAATTGTACATTATGACACAGATATTTAACTACTTCGCATACCACATATTGCCCTTGGACACACACATTCATTACAACGTAAAGGGCGATTAGTCATTTTCCAGTCTATTCCTATTATACTACCTTTAAAGGAGAATGTTTTATGGTGCTAATACTATCTATAGTTGTCATTGAGCCAATATTCACAATTTAGCTAATAAGATATTAATGATGTCATATTCCTATTTCTTGTAACATATTTGCTTACGGTACTATCATATAAGACAAATTATCGGTTAGTTCACTTTTCCTTATTAAATGTTTCAGACATTTACACTACCTCATTTCGAAAAGTCTATTTGTGTTGGACACACAATTTTGTCCATACGACAATACTATTAACAACTGTCATACATGTGGGAGGTTTAGCTAGCTATAAAACCGGATTAAACCACCATTTTCGGAAAATGCCTGTACCAAGTCAGGAATATGACTGTTATTTTCTATTCTTTCCGTTAGCTGATATAGTCGAGCATTTGGTTTTGTCAGGTTTCAATGACCATTACTTTTCCAAATTTACTTTGGAGTACTTTGGAGTTCTGTATTTTATTCTTAAATACTTTTTAGTGGCATTTCTTTCTGACCAAAATTTGGGTTGTAAATTTCACTATTTGTGTGCGTCCTTTTGTTCATCGGTCACTATTATCAACTTGTTTTTCTTTTGTTCGTGTGGGGTCCTCTGGGTTTCGAATTTGATTTTTACATGGAAGGTTCCGTATCTATCTACCTTTTAAAAGACCTATATAACCATATAACCAACTCTCATAAAAATTGTCAATTCAAATTGACAGTAGAGTATATATGTAGGGTCAACTTCACATAATGAGAATGAAAAAGTCTTATCAAGTGTGAGAGCGTTCTGTCATACAGTCTCAGAGGAATTGCGTTCACTTAGTGTGATTGTGTAACAATAGTGTTAAAATGTTTTAAAAAAATTGTCAACTTCCCATTATTTCCATAAAAAAAGTCAAATCAAAGTGACTGTTTTAGTATGGAAAAACCGCTAAATATGATGACGAACAAGCCTTCCAAATATCAGAGCTTTATGTCAAACGATATCAGAAGAGTTGCGTTAATGAGGTGTCATTGTGGCAGGATAGTGAATATAAAAAATGAATCAAATATTTCCCGTAAAAATAGTCGTATCAAAATGACTGTACAATATGGTCAACTACATATGGTGACACACAATCCTACCAAGAACGAGGACTTTCTTTATAACGGTACCAGAAGAGTTGCGTTCGCACGGTGTCATTTTGTTAGAATAATCTAGAAATTGTCTCAAAGTCCTAACTCCCTTAATATTAGATTAACAGTAGAATAAGGCCAAGATAATATGATCACAAATAATCATTTCAAGTATGCAATTTTTCTGTTAATTAAACGGTCTCTTGAATATTTTTTTATTTCGGCGAAGACTATTACTATATCACCGTGGCGTGAGCGGCGGGTAACGTTTAGACTTAGTGTGTCGACATATTTAGCGTCTCCTACTTCGGATGCATCGTCCGCTAGCGACTAAATTAAAAATGACACGACGAGGAATAGGACACGATCGAGTAAATTTATCTGAATAGATGACTTTTCAGGTGTTTTCATATGTAAGATAACAAAAATAGGTCTATCGTGATTTGAAGCACATTCATCAAATAATGTCTTTTTGATGATGATCGGGGCTATTATATTTGGTAATCCTAATCGGTAAACAAATAATGTAACTGAAAAAGACCCAATTAACGCAAAATTCAAACACGAAAACTTGTAAATAAAAATATCCAGGGACCCTATGTCCCATTGTATGGTACATGTGTAAAAATGTTTAGACTATAATGTTCACACTATACGGACTTCATTAACAGAGTTATGCTCCTGACGAAGAAAACGAATGAAATCGACTCGATCTACATAAGTTTTACGGTCACCATCAATCATTGGTTGACCAATACGGTGTGTCTGTGTCTCGGCTCACTAGCGATATGTTTTCGCTGTCTTATATTTTTAGATACCATACGGGTCACATAATCTGTAAATTTACCGATTGTGACTTATTTCCGATTGTGACATTTCGACTGAGTGTAGATTTTTTTGCATAGCAGGAAACACTAACCCGGACGACGCATTCAGTCACGCTTCTGTTGGAGTTCATGCAATGCTTCCACTGGTAAATCCGGATATGCTTCCATCATAAAACAAATGGTTTTACTCCCGCTCATAGTGGATAATCCAACCATGAAGTTTGTAAACATTCGCGTTTGCCAATCTCTGTATCGATTAACGCCCATCGTTTGACATGAGAATGAAAATAACACTTTATAAATTTGAAACGCCCGAAGCGCTTTTCTTGATTAGTTTTCATTAGGAACGACCAAATCAAAAAAATTGAAAGCCAAGGGGGTGTATAAACTAAATACCTAAGTACATGATGATTTTTACCACGATTTCACAGTGGAAATGTGAAAGTGCGTATCGGATAAAAGTTTTTGGTTAAAGTAGTATTCCTTACTTTAAATTTAGTATACATATTATTTGTCATATGATTTTTTTGAATGTTATTCCAAATTAGGACATGACATCCTGTGGACACAGATTCTTGTTTTCAACTTAAAAATGTCAAATACAAAATTGAAATATGAAATATATCAGTATAAGATAACTGTTCTTTGTGCTGCAGTATATTTTCATGTATTACAAAACACAAGATAACACCCTTGATCCAACCTCATTATATGTCTAATGATGCAACCATCATGCACACTAAGACACACAGTCACAAGGTATAGACTTTTTTTCACTTGTCTAATCGAGTAAGTGCATTAGAGATTTTGGTTGTCCGAATGTTATCTTAATTGTTCCGGGCAATCGGACAGCATTTATTATCAAACCATGCTGAGTTCTGTCCATGGGTTACAGTTGCATTGACGATTACCCCGCATTTATTTCTGTTCATATCTAAACTTATGTTTTTTTTTCAAAAGTTATTTATGAAAACTAACATTACAAATTAATTTCATATGTAAAGAGAGCAATTGAAAGAGGCAATGATCTGCTCAAGGTTTAATCAAAATAATAACCTAAGCCATCAAGTCTAAATATATTGTACTGTTTGGCTGACAGAGAAAATTCATTGAAAATGTGGAGTAAATGTAAATAACTTACCTGCAGAATTGAGAATACCCCGATTTTTGTATCGTGTCATACTTTATTAAATCTTGACATATTTTGACATCGTCCAATTCCGGACAGTCTACAAAAAACGGAAAAAATTTAAAATGAAAGATGGTTTATATTTTTGTGAAATGTTTTGCCATTCAACTTCACAACGTAATGTCATGAAGATGCTAACAACTCTCAATCACTAAGCCCCCTAAAAAAGAAATAGAAAAATACAAAAACAAAAAGATGAAAAGGTTAAAAAAATACCCAGGAAAATCAAATATTAACGGTAATTGACTAAATTGTTTGGTTCGCCGTTTTTTTCTACTGCAATGCTATTTTTTTTTTATGTCTATTTGATGTCTATTAACCTAATTTCGTTTGCGATCTTACTGAACAAATTAACGCAAGATAAAGATAAGGATCAGATTTTTCAAGGCACGTCTAGTGTAATAGCTCATAAAATATTTATGTATTTATACGTCCTTGACTTTCAAGGACACGACGGGTGCCACATGTGGAGCAGGATCTGCTTACCCTTCCGGAGCACCTGAGATCAACCCCAGTTTTTGGCGGGGTTCGTGTTGCTCAGTTTAGTTTTCTGTGTTGTGTTTTGTGTGCTGTTGTTTGTCTGTTGATCTTTTTCTTTTTTAGCCATGGCGTTGTCAGTTTACTTTCAACTGATGAGTTTGAATGTCCCTGTGGTATCTTTCGGCTTTCTTTTTCAAATTTCTGGGATCGAGCTTTCATGATGAAGGTAAATCCAGAAAAGCATTCGAACGCAACATATTAATAATAATTGCTATTTTATTGTCAGTGATCATAGCTAATTTCTGAAAGCGTTGACCAATAAATCAGATTTCCATTTTGTGTCTCATTTTTTATTTGAACCCCCATTGCGATTTTTGCATACATTCTGGTACACATAACAGAAGATGACATACGGTTAAAGGATTAATGAAAAAAAACATAAGTCGAGGATAAACAGATACCATTAACAAAAGACGAAGGAAGACGAGAAACAAATAGTTGTTATCAAAATACTACTCCATACACTAAAAGGCGACGAGTTCGACATAATTGAACTCATCTGTGACAATCAAATCATGATGGCGTTCGAAGGACGAAGAGATGGCTTCAATTTCACCATTATGAACCTTTGGATAAATCATTTCCTTGTAAGTAGCAACTTTCTATCAAGGAAATACAAAGAGCTAGAATAACGTTTCATTTGTAGAGGAGATAAATTTACTATAAATTCAGATTCTGCTGTTTTATGTTAACATAGAGGTAGAAAGTTCACCATGGGAAAATTGAAATGATCTTTTTTGTCGTAAATTTTATTTCTCAACCGACCATCATTGTTTATTTATAGATGTAAATCAAGATATAAAGAAAGGTAACTTTTATTTGTGGTATCCTTTATTTCACGTTCAATGAAAGATGCGATCAACGTGGTCACCAAACTTTGAATATTTCAATTAGGGGACATCATTTATATTGTGAACGTGAAATAAAGAAAAATGTTAGCTAAATTTCATTCTTCCTGAAAAGCACCTAATTTTTCTACATGATGTTTTCCAGAAACGAAAAAAAGGATTAATTCTGTGCGGAGAAGAGCACAGTTGGGAACCGAAAGACGACTATCTGTTGAATAACAGGTCCACCAAAAGTATAGACATCAAATCAAGCATCTTGTTGATGTCATTCTTGGATATTTTATTCGCATCAATCAATATTTTACAAAAGATTTGATATATAATCAGCTACAACATATGAGATTTGGATTTTTCGTCAATTATTATAACAAACCTTGGAGACAATGATTTCGAGCTTTAATTTTTAAAGCTCTATAGGCAGAATACTCGGATTCATGTCCACCAAGCCCACACTTTAATACAGCGTTATTTTCACACTTTTGTAATTTACTCTTGCCTACTATGTTCCTGTAAAAGAAAAATCAAGTATATCTATATAAGTTATTTGAATCTGAGTATGTATTTACAAATATCAGTACCCTTTTCTTTGAAAAAAAAAAGATTTCTCAGTACATAAAACGATAAAGGTAATGAGTAAATAAAATGCATGCCAGTCACATATACTAGTACTACGAATGTTTCAACGACATATAATATACACGAGGGCCTCGAAATTAAAAGGAGGACGGAGTAACGGTTATGCTTACGGTTATTTGTTTTGGTGGACGGTTTACCAACTGGTGATTGCTTCCTAGTAACTCACTAATCCATTACATTTATAATGGACAAAGTGTTTAATCCTACTTCATTAATATATACCTGTCGCAAGCCAGGATCCTCATTAGTGTTTGTCGTTAATTGCATTTAATTGTTATTTATGTTTTAGTTTTTGACTTTGTTCATAGTGTCTAGATCTGTTTTTGAAGACTGTATGTTGCCCATTTGATAACTTTGTAGTTGGGTTGATATGTCATTGAATGATATCCCACATCTCATTAAACAACCAATGAGAACATATGATTTAAAAGCATATTTTTTCAGAATGCATATATAGATGTATAAAATGCTCATTTTAAGATAAACTCACAGGCAAAGAGGAATCATAACTGAAATAGCATTGCTCTCACGTGTGACATTGAAAAATTCTTCTAACTGAAGTGTACAGTTATTTAAAAGCGAACAAGTTTCAATTCCAGCAAGTGAATCTGAAATAGTGTTACATAGTAATGTACAAGGTAAAATAGACATTAACTTTGGTAGTGCACAAAGAATAATTCCCCATGTCATTGGTGGTCTTAATTTATTACGTTTTGTGTTTTTTATTGATAGTCTATAGAGAAACAAATCCAGGCTAATCAGGGAATTTGATTAGTTACCTTGACTGGGGATATACCCTGTGAACAATAAAGAAGACCATTAAGGGAATTAATGTTGAAACCAGGGTACTCCCGTATGATATAATTGTTATTTTTGACTTCATGTGGGGTATTTCCTCATATAACCTGTCTGTGCTGTATATCCCCTTTTCTTGACTACACAGGGGATATAAAACACTGCCATGGAATATGAGCTCATATCCCATGTTAATATCTTGAATAAAATATATACTTTTGGCGAATAAGATGTATGCATACATATAGAATAGACACTTATGTTTTTGGTTTTTTATTAACATATGGTCCAAATCCCCATAATTCACTATAACGATTACCAAAACCCAATCGAAATATTTTACATTATCCATACTATAGATTAATTACACCTGAATTCAACAGAAAGCGGGAAGGGGATATGAAATGAATAATGACATTTCCTAGATATAAAAAAAAAATAATGACATTTCCTAGATACAAAAAAAAAAAAAAATGGCATAAACATTATGATATTCCTGATTTGTAACAAGGAAATAGAAACATATTGATTAAACTAGTTTTAACCATCAATCGTTCCCTTTTTTATTGTTATCAGTAGACAACAAAAATACATTTGAAAATTCACTTGAATTATCTATTATCAAAACAAACATTACAAGACATAAACACATTTGTGTATAAAGTGCATACATTTGACTATATGGTAGAAACCGTTATATACTACAGTCGAAGGTTTTAATAGTACGTGAACATCCTTACTGTAGGATTTAGTCAAATTGCTATAAGAACAGGTTTATAGATATAAGAAGATGTGGTATGAGTGCCAATTAGACAACTCTCCATCCAAGTCAAAATTTATAAAAGTAAACCATTATAAGTCAAAGTACGGTCTTCAACACGGAGCCTTGGCTCACACCGAACAGCAAGCTATAAAGGGCCCCAAAAATTACTAGTGTAAAACCATTCAAACGGGAAAACCAAAGGTCTAATCTATATAAAAAAACGAGAAACACTTATGAACCACATAACCCACCCTTTTCTTCGGAAAATGCCTGTACCAAATCAGGAATATGACAGTTGTTTCCCACTCGTTCCGTTGGTTTATAACATTTGATTTTATTCAGTGTTTGTTGAATTCCCCTTTTTTAATTTATCTTGGAGTTAGGTAAATTAGTTGCAATGCTCTTCTGTTTGTTCAGACTGATATATCGTTATATAGATGGAATTATATCGGAAGATTTCTTGTACATAGCTGTTATCTACCACTTGGAATTATTCATAAAAAGCCGTGACAGCCAATGACAATATTTTTTATCTTGGAAAGAGTCATTGTTTAGATTTATATAACATTAGATGGCCTTCAAATATTATACATTAAACTATACAAATATAGGAAACATCAATTTCCTTGTTACTTCCGTAGTTTTTAGTCTAATTTTAGTTGTCCAATTGTTTAATATCTTTTTTAAAATATCTTTAATAATAATAAGAACAAATTAAATAAAAAGTTTAAAATACTTACACAATAGCACAGAAAATATAATTACAATTGAAGCCATCTTTCACATTTGAATATAATTTCATTAAGTAATTAGCTGGAAAATCACATGTATACCTCGTTTCCGTCCTCCTATGCTGTTATTTGAATTGACGGAAACTTATCACTTTAGGAGATAAAAAACTGTACAATCGTGTGAAAGGGTCATTACGGTTGAATCCATCATACACTTGAAGAAGATACAAGTAGTTGTCTGTTGGTTTAAAATTAATTAATATAGCTCACTGTATGTAGTATAAATGAATATTGTTTTTGATGCCTACCTATACTGGTATTGAGATCCGAGTTTTAAAATGTATGCAACTAGATGTACGTAATACATCTCATTTCTATGAAGTAAGTATATATAATTAACATTTAAAAAATGTTTTACATTGAATACATTACATACAAACACATTTTTTGATAATTCTGAACTCTTAATATTATAATGTTCGTGCGTCCGAAGGGATTTTCTGGATTTATCTTCATCAAGAAGGCTCAAAACCAAACTTTAGAAACGTCATATGTACTGTAACTTATATCATTAAAAAAAAAATAATAATTGTAACTGTTGTCCATAAAAGTAATCAGACCTTTACACAGCATGCTATATTTGGTCATTAAATAGACAGCACACATGTAATTTTGCTAATGGACTGGCGCTCACATGAATCATTTAAATGATAATTTTTCTAGAAATCATATTTTCTCTCTCTTTATAATTTTTTTTTATATTATTTTAATAAAAGCTTATATCTCAATTCTTCAAGTATATAAGATATAAGGGCAATGTAAGAAAATATAAACTATTTTAATGGGGTTTAGCCATTAGGCGAAGGGCGAGGTTTAGAGAGGGTACAAGTTCGTGCCAAATTACCCCTTAAAAAATAATATTTTCAGACAATTATACCCATAAAAGTCTTTACACAACAAAATTCTATTTCCGTCCATGATTTTGACGGATAAATGACATTGTACATAATATCACTTTATACTAAATACAGGAAATAAAGGGGAAATAAAATGGCAATAGTTTTCCTTATTGTTTAATCATATGGACTAGTTTCCTGTAACAAGATCTTGTACATGTACACACTTAACTTTAAAAAAAAGTGGTCTGAGATAACTGTTTGAGCATAACTGATGAGACTTTGCTCATGTACACAGAAAGTTCATGCCGCCAAAATGATCAGAGGTGGTTTCAAATTCAGGTGAGTTTATTTCACTTTAGGGCCATTGTCAATAAAATTCCTCTATCTGTACTAAAGCTCAATACACAACAACTTGATAAGTTAGTGTACTAATCAGTTGAGATAAGATTATCTTGTAGTTCTAAACTTGTAGTCGAATTGTGAACGTCAATTGGAGGCCCAAAACAGCCATTTTGAAAACATTTTGTTGAATTTCGAGTATCTAACAAATAAACGAATCCTTACCAAAACAAACACAATATTAGAAGTAAAGATATATGTATTGTCTTTCAGAAACAAAGTATATGATGCAGGTTAAAGATGTCCTTCTCTGCAACATTTTATTATGAACTTTTTTTATAACCATTCTATTGAAGACATATGTTGCCTTGCACAGTCATTCAGCATATCACAAAGGATAAGGGATACTAATGCAAAAGTCTTTCTTAACCATTCAATTTGATTTGCATTTGCTGTGGGATTCTCTAACTACATTGTGAAAAAAGTTTACTCATAAAAGTTGTAAACACTGCTCATTTAAAGAAGTTGATGTTCCAAACTTGGAAACTTTCTTTGAGTTCAATTATGTATGTGAGAAATGTACAAAACATATACTAGTATATTTAATATTACGAATGAATCTGTTGATGAGAGAAACAGAAAATCGTAATAATCAATTTTTATTAAATAGTCGTCGTGACGACAAATAACATAACAAGAAAAGGTCAACAACACGAGAAGATAACATCAGAAATATATGAATTTTCTGAATCTTCATTTTAAATATGAAGGTCTTTATTACGACAAATAAAGTCAAAAACTTTTTTTTTATTTAGACTGCTTAATGTATTCAATATTTAACAGATAATCTAAAATAATACATGCTCGGGGCGAAGGAATGTAGAGTATAAGTCAATGACCTCCAACCAAACAACAAAGTAAAACAAGACCACCCGTAATACCGAAGTATAGATTAATTGGGAACAGAGACTACCAAAGATATACCTTAAACACAAAATTATAAAATTATGTCTAATAACAGCACCGCGATTACATATGGGGCCTGGTGCAACTATAAGGCGACATTAAATCAACTTTTTTATACTTAACCATCCCCTTCCTTTAGCTTGATCAGATATATGGCTATGTAGTATTTTTGTTATTTCCTCCGTTTTTTGTTTTATATAAATCAATTATTGTGGCTTGATTGTATAAAACTTACACTGCATGTGATTGCCACAAATATGACACAACAGCAGTGTTAAACTAAACTGGTCAATTAGTACAAAATGTTAGTAAATATATATGGGAGAGCTACAATCAATTCACCAATGTTCTCCGGGCAGTAATAGAATAAAAATATGTATTTAGTACGTAAAAAGTAAATTATAAACAGTTGAATTTAATCAAGAAGAGCGAATTGCAGCTGAAGTATAAAGTTAGTCTTTTTTTTTAAAGTAACAAGAATAAGTGTACGTAGGACACGATGTCCCGCTCACACTATAAAATTTCCATTTTTAGTGAACTTGGAAATGACGGTCAAAGCCGTAATTTGTCATCCAATTAAAAAGGTTCAAACTATAATAAAGATTGGCATTAGGCTTCAAGTTGTTGTAACCACAACTTCATGGTAAACTACCTAACCAACAACTCTAACGTGAGAATATACTGCTGGTTTCTTACTTTCACATTTTTATTTTCAGCGAACCACAAAATCGGGGTCAAAAATGAGATTTGACACATCATATAAAAAAGTTCAAACCATCATTAACCTGTGTACTAAGTTTAACGTTGACGTCATCAAAACTTCATGGTTAACTACCTTAAGGGCACACGATACAGTTTTGATCCCACGGTGATTTTTTTACGAAAATTTGCATACAAGCTATTTTTCACCTAGTAAATTCAAATATGTATTAAAAAATATACCTGCATGTTCTACTTTAAGAGGTAAATTTGGTCGAAATTTTAGACTTTTACTCAAAATTTCGGTTTTCGGACATTTCTATCCTTTGGATAGACATACCTAACTTTTTTGTTTCAAAAGATAAACAAAAGCGGATTTTTATAAAAACATTTAGAAAATCTTCTTTATATAAGTATGCTCTTTTGTATAACTATTCTTTGAAAATAATAAATTCTTATCAAAGTTACATGATTTTAGATAAAAAACGGCATTTTTTGCTGTATATTTATCTAATTTCAAAAAATTTCATCTGTGACTTTTTCATAAAAAATGGTACAAATAATCTTCATACGTAATCAAACCTAATGTCATTTTAATAAAGAGGGGTCCATGAACTCGTTTTCAAGTTAAATCAGTCCGAATGATAAAAATCAGTCGAAAAATGCATCTTTTCCCGATATGTCACAGTTTGACGTCGCGAAAAATAACATATGACGTTAATTACGTCATTACCTCCCATATAACTGTATCGTATGCCCTTAACCAAAACCTTATATCTAATACTGGACGGGATGACGCACAGACCAGAATGCATACCTCAAACCATTGTAGGCGGGGCATTACAATTGAGAAAGCAGTTCTTAGATATTCCATGTTATCGGTATCGTTCTAAATAGGGCAACATATGACACTACGGTGTATAAAGGGATCAAAGCTGACCTAGCATGTTCGGTTTTGAGAGCCTTTTGGAGCATGTCTCATATTGTATCTTGGATGGAGATTATTTCTGTTTTTGTTGTTGGTTTTATATGTAATTGTACCTGGAATAATGAACTTTGGTTAAATCAGTTCAGGCTTAGATTGGTGCATTGGAAATTGTCAGTTTGTCACAACGGTATTTTTGAAATTCCTGTTAGATTACGTTATAGATAATGCATACTTTAAGGTTTTTCTTATCGTATAACACCCCGAACGAAAAAAAACCTTAAAATATGCATTATCTGACTTATATACCACCAAAAGATATTATTTTCTACAAAGATTTGCAGGATTTGCATCCTATTTTACAGACCACACGCAAGTGGGATATTATTTTCTGATGCGTTCAGTTTTATTACATCCAACGGCTCATTTATAATGTGAAATAAAAATCACTAATTAATCTAGATATCAACTTTAGAAATCATTATCCAGTTACAAAAAATATAACTGTAACTGCATGAAGTAAGACACAAATTAATGGTTAAGGTATATGAAAAATACAAGTAACTTCGTAAGTAATTGATTATACCAACTTAGTTTATAAAATCGAGATACTACGTTTTATTCTCTTTTATCATGACATTTTTTCTTTCTTTATCAATAACACATACATATGGTCTAGTAATGTTACACATTATGAATATCAAGTTTTAAGTGTTACACATAAATGTCAAGATTAGTTTGGTGACTGCCGAAAACGAGTTGTAATCACTTTAAAAGAGACCATGGTGAATAAAGATAAGAAGAGAAGATTTCATCATTCAATATGCATCTATTACTATTATATTAAGTCTCTGGCTTGAACAATGAATCGACAGAACTCGGCGGATCCACGATTCGAGTAGACCGGTATGAATGTTAGTTTGTGTATAAAATCAATTTGAAATAACATGCCATATTAAATGAAAATTGTTCTATAAAGGTTTGATACAATTCAGAATGATTGTTTTCTATCTTTTGTCTGGCAATAAATTTTTTTAAGCTGAGATTCAGGATTAAATATTATACCATACCCCTCCCCATTATACAGTACGTGGCTGTTATTCTATAAAAAAAAATAAGAGTATTTGGTCATTTGATCATTTGATAAAGTAAAAGGTATATAAAGATTTAAAATGTTAAGAACTGGCACGAAGAGAGCACGAAATCTTGACCGAATATTCATATGTCAAAGTATGATTTCCGAATTTGAAATCTTACGCACGCAATAAAATTATGAAAAGTTTCGCATTATAAAACTCATCCCACATAATGTCCCTTTATCGTAGCGA